GCCACGCTGGTGCTAGAATCGTAAAGTTTTTTCCCCCTTATTAACGTTTTTGACGCAAGGAGTTGCCGCAGTTTCTATTTTTTTGATTGCTTGCTTATAAGAGATTGAAACTTGATAATCAGAAAAGATAAATTTTCATGGAAGAAATATCTCGTTAAGAAAAGATAATAAAAATAAATGAAAATAATAATTCAGAAGAGCAGTAAAAAGTTTTATATAGTTTATAAGATTTAAAATAAGTTAATTTTTTTTTTTTTTATTTAATTAGGCGGAAGACATTAAGCGCATCCATAGTTTAAGAGTTTTATCAGGTGTTAGCGTAATAATCGTATTCTATGAGTTTCTTTGTTAAAGGAATTGGTAAAGGAGATCGTTTAAAATAAGCGGGTTGAATAAAACGATGAATTATAAGAAAGTATTGAATTTGTTGCAACATTTGTGCAAAAATGCGCAATTGCGTGAAATTTGCTCACCTTTTGAAACTTATAAATGAAAAATATCAGATCAATTTTTCCTCTACGTTCCCTCTACGTTATTTCTAATAAGAATTAATTCAATTCAGAATAAAATGATGATCTGATGTGCTCAATGAATATGTTCCGTGTATTGCAGATGCATCGAGGCGAAGATGCTGAATCGTATACGAGAAAGAATTATTATTTTTATGGATTATTGTTTGTGGCTCAATATCACGGATAACACAAATTATAATTATTATAATACAAATAAGTATATATCGAAGAATATGTGTATAAATAAATATTACAAAAAACGACAATCGATAGAGAGATTCAAACGAAATCTCGTCTCGATATCAATTTTAATTAACAAATAATCGCGGAGGACAAGGAATAATTAATCAGACCAGATGGGTGTGCGGACACGTGTTAAACGGTCATTCTGAAAGGACAGTTAAAGTCAAGGATGGTCATTTTCACCAACGGACGATTTTATCAACCCCTCGCAAGCTGTAAATTAATGACGAACTACCTGATCTTGCCTCTGGAGAATTCTCGGTGCATGGATGGTTTTATCATCCTTTGCCGATCGATCCATCGTGTCACGCATACATTATCCGTGCTATTAATTAATTTGCAGGTACGCCGCTTCGGATACGCATTGTATCGTAATATGTATTATAATATAATCAATAGGATGGCGCGGAACAAAAGGATAATTCATTAACCGTTATCGACGGTTAATCGAATCGAAAGAGGCTGAATACATTCGTTCCACGACGAAAAGAATCAAAGGCACGGTTGGTTAATCGATCACGGTGAGTAATTTTTCATCTCGCTGCTATAAACACGCGTGCAATTAAAATCATTACGAAAATCGCTCGGACTTTGTTCGTTCGATGGAATACATCGATTGATTCATCGAAACGAAAATAAAAAATGCGAAGCGGTGAATTTTTCGATGTTGAATAAACCGATCGATAATAAATTAAAATCTTTATCTCTGTTCGAAATAATTAATATAACAGTTGTGTTTTTCGCTCCACTTTGTTCGAAATTGCTAAGAGTTTATTAATCATTAATCTCTCGAAGTAATTACTTGGACAATTTTCTGAAACGGAAGTGGAAAAATTGTTTCTCGACATAGCATTTAAATTAAACGCTTCAACAAATTTTGAAATATTTTGTTATTTTCGTCATCACAGTTCTGCGCAAATTGAACCAACAAATGAAAGAAAAATTATGCATAAATATCGTTAATCGTTAGTTCTTCGCGAACCGTTTTCGAATATTGAAACATTGAGCTAAAAAGATAATTAGAAACGCGAAAGGTTAAATAGAAACTAGTCCTTTTTTGCGAAGAATAGCTCCTTTGACCACGCGATCCTGCCGCATTTCGCCACATCGCATCGATCCCCCATGAGATAAGCAGTAGTTTGCCCAGCCACTGAGACGATCGACGTTAATCGAAGTCGGGTAACCGCGCGTTTACAGCTAAGCGACATGCAACTAGTGTCCGTTGCGGCCGCAACCCCGAAGCGACGCAAAATAAGAAAAACAGACGAAGGGAAACGAAGGAGAAGAAGTGGCGAAGAAAAGCTTCGTTGCAACTGAAAAATATTCTTCTACTTTCTATCAAACTTTCAATTCAATTTTTACTATTGTTTAATGGAATAATGGAAGAAAGGAGAAACTCGGTTGAATAGAAATGCATCATATGTTCTCCCTTGACATCCAGAGAATATCTTCGAACGTTAAATAAAACGTTTGAAACGCGTGAAGAGGGAATGCAGAATAATCCGATGGCAGGATATACTGGAAGAAGCGAATAGAGGGAAGAAAAATGGCGTATCGCGTAGAGCGCAGAGGTGAGCAAAGTCGGACGCGCTGTCTCGTAAATTTCGCATGCACCCGTGTCGTTGGATGCGGTAAGCCGTGTAATGCTCGGCGCTGGCCACGGGGGGACGTATCGCGCGCATAAAAATGAGTGAACTCGGTGCATTAAGCCGAGTAATGGGCGCCTTTGGGAGGAAACAGCAGCATAGGCGCCGCAGCCTAGGTGTAATACGCCATGACAAAGTGGCGCGTCTGGCCTGTTGCGACGAGAGGATATAGCTCGGCCTGCCTCGATATCCTTGACCATCGTGTCCGGCCCCGTTCTACGGAGCGGCAGCAGCACGCGTTGTAAGAAAGCGTATCGTCCCGTGTTGCTTGAACTTGGCGGAATAATTAATTCGATCGATTCGAGCCGCGCTCCGGCAATTAAACCGGAGTGTCAGTGTGCACTGATAAAGTAAACACTTCTAACGGGCCGGGTTGATATTACATAAATTTATATACGTCATAGGCCAGGATCGGAGCATCGCGCGGCGTGATAATTTACACGCGTAACCGCGGATTCGATCCATCTATGATTGGATTAATAAGTATGGAAACAATATTCTCCTATTATGTAACATATCGCGTATACATATCGCGAGTTCTGTAAACTGTACAGTTTGATTAAGCAATATCGAAATGGTAACGTACAATACAATACACGTGTAACGATTTTCGATCATCAGAAATGCGAGAAAATGTCCGAGGTTTTCTTTACCGAATAACGAAGAACGTTTCGCCGCGAGCGATGAAGAGGTCAAGAACCGTTGCTAGCTCACAATATTTCAACTTGTTGCGATGTGTGGTATACTAGATTCGCGATACGCTAGAACGAACAACGTTACACACGCATCGAGTTCATCTATCGTGTCTATCGTTTTCGAGCGTGTATCCTGAATAGCTACGATACGCTATGACTACGATAATCTCGCGAATTTTCCAAGACTCTGGATGGAATCGACGATTACGTTAGCTCGTTAATAGGGGCACGATGAGGTTGAGGTGCAATAATTTGATGGTGTGAACGGGTTATTACGGTTTACAGCGCCCTATTCATCAAGGGCGGAAGGCATTTTGTCGGATCGTCGCAAATAACCGTCGTACACGACAAAAAGCGCGCCACTTCTAAGCGCTACGAGATTCCCCCTTGTACGGTTAGAAACCTGTGCGCCCCACTATCGGCGCATACGATTGCGCATGCGCGGTTGCCGTGCGCCGGCCGCGTTGGCGCCAACCGGCGCGGCGGGGTTCCACTTTGGCCATGGTTCGCGCAGTCAAAGGCACTTTTTCGCGATTGTTTGCGGAAGAACGACGCGGTTCGAAACCAACCGGGGCCTTGTAGAAGTTTTTACCGCGACCATGAAAGCGGCGTGCGATCGTTCTTTTACATAGGATCCTTTCCGATGGAATACTTGCCGCGAAAAGCCGCTCGTGTGAATCGCATTTTGCCGCGCTTTTCGCGCGCGCGGAAGGGAGCAACCAGCAGTGCATCGGTTCAAGAGGCAGAGGCACGCGGATAGAGAGTGGGATTAATTGTTTTCTTTGTACCGCGAAGGAAGCATCATAGGCGCCACAGCTCCACATTTGGAACGAATTAATTAACAATAAGTCTGTTACCGTAAGTGGACTCGTCGGATTTAATTAGCGCTCGAGGGTTCTCCGTCGTCTTTCAATACTGTTGACGGGAAAATCAAGATGGCGGAAGTCATTAAGTTTTAATACGAAATCCTCGAGGATCTTTAACGATATTGATGCTGAACTTTTATAATCCCGCGGGATCGATCAAAAGAACCTTTCTGATGAAATTTCTTCCTTTACAAAATGGCGACCTTTGTCGCGCAAGCGTATAACATTAACTTTTCGTCAATAATGTTCACAAGTGTCAAAGGATTTGAAATACGATTATCGTCACCCGTTTCGAAAGTAAAAAAAAAAAAAAAAAAGAAAGAAAGAGGCGCAATACGTATGCATCATGAGCCGAGCACGCGCGCGTCGCAACGTTATCGAATTCAACTGACGATTACCGGTTTTATCGACGATAAATAACCACGACACTATGTTGTAATCTCGTGAAATGTAAATGGTGGCCCGAGTGAAATAGTAATTATAAATTTTTCCTGCGTCGCAAACGTTGGCGCTGGTCAACGTAGATGCCGCTTTTGTGTCATTATATATTACACGAGGCCATTTGCACTTCTCGGCCGGACCGTAATCCGCGAGACACGGACATGGAAAACGCGATACGTATGCGAATGAGCCAATCCTGCCCCGTACATAAATTAGAATATAACTCCCGCGGCTGAACGCGTCTAAGAAATTGCATTTTCTCTCCGCGAGAATATTGAAAGCATTATAAAAAATCTTTACGCGTGCACGCTCGATCGCTCGAACGGTTGCTCATGAATATTTATTCGCGGCAATAACTTTTCTGTCGGCGCGTCTGTACCATCGCCTATGAAATCGCGACGATTTGCTGACGATCCATGAGTCGGGTAGAAATGTTATGAAACGTGGTTAACAATGTTGTTTCTAGTAATGGGAGGTGTGGATATGTTTGTGATTTCATATGTTGTCGAATGTAGATATTTCCAATGTATTTTTGTTATCTAGTTTTATTTATTTATTCACTTTTTTGATCGATGTTTCCAATAGATTGCTATTTGCGGTTGCCAATACCAGTAGACGATATGTAAATGATAATGATGATTTTATGGAATATGATGATTATTAAGAACGATTTATAACGATCGTTAAAATACTACGTTTTGAAACAAGAATTCTTTGAACAAAGAATTTATGATCGACTGGAAAATTAAAAAAAAAAAAAAAAAATTATAAAAATTCTTATTATAAAAGATTCGTGGAAAATTGAAGGATGTCCCTAATAAGGACATTTCGCAAGGAGAAAATCGCTTTGGGAAATTTACTTTGAAACAAGAAGGAAGGAGAAAAGAAGAGGGAGGTATAACAGGAAATAATAGGAAAAGTAATGAGAAGCGGGTTTTCCCCCCTAGAGGTTAAATTAAACAAGATTCTTTCGTCCCTCTATCTTCGTTCGCCCATCTTGAATTTATTTGTCTCGCTCAGGAATCAAGACGCTTTACATTTCATGCCGCATAAATTGTACGTTAACTATAGATGGAAGAAGGTCCGATATTCACCGTGAAACAAGAGCAAGAAGTATTATAAGAATGAAACAGCAAGAAGAAACGGTCCTTTATTAAGTACTCTTGCTTTTAAACGGCTTTCAAGCCCGAGTAAAAACTTGCCCTTCTTGTAATCTTATTAATCAAACACCTTTGCGTCCCGAAATTGGATAATAATTCAATCACGAAATTTTTACGAAATTTTAATCATCGCAATAAATTAATCGCGCTTCCTCTTCGAAAATCTTCATTGTCATCTCTTTATCTAATACACGACGATTTTATCGATCAAACATCAAATTTAAAATTTGATCGCGCATTGGATACAAATCTCTCCATTCTCCAACCAATCGGATTCGAGTCGAAAATTCCTCTCGAGAATTTAATTATCAATAATCAATCATGGTGAAAATTTTTCCTCTTGACAAATTATATATCCTCGAAGCAAATAATATTCAACCGGAGAACCGTTTGATGCCTAAGATCGATGCGACGTTTCTTACTTCTCCATCCCCCGCTCGCTTCAAAATGTAGTACCATTAAAAAGTGACTCCCTTGCTTCCTCCCCTCTCCTCTCCTCTCCTCCCCTCGCGATCCTCCCCTTGGCGAGGCCAGACGGCGTGTGCACGAGCGTTCGAGCGGATAGTCGAAAAGTAAAAGGAAAAAAGTAAAAGATTGCGCTCGTTATTCAGCGTATCCCGTTGGGCCCCGTGTAGATGATTTCACGCCGTGACACGGCTGCTCGACGAAAGGTGCGTTAAGTGTTGCATTCGATGCAGCCGCAGCCGCGGCGCTCTTTCGAGATCCCTCCTC